AAAGCAAAAAACAACAAAAAGAACGTGCTCAAAACTTTGCACCGCTTTTGTCTACATCCTGTCCATGCGAGGCAAGTGGACGACCTAAATCCCGCGCGAAAGAGCCGTCACGATCGATATGATAGCTGTCTCCACACACCGATTCACACAGCACAAGTCGCTGTCATCTGCACGATCCTATGCACCTGAGTCCTCATCAGATGCTGCGTATAGTTAAGCATTCACCCTACAATTGAAGCGATGCATGGTGTGCGTTCGGAGGCGGAGACGGACCAGGACAGCAGACTATCGGCGTGGTGCAACATAGGTCATCGACTCACGTGCAAGCGATGGGTCATGATAATCAAAACCGTTTGCAGAGGACGCTTATGTTCGCTCACAGCTTTACCTTATCACGCGCCAGACACTTGAGGCTAGAAGCCTAGATTTAGTCAGCGATGCACGTGCACAGTTTATGTCCGATGACGACATCGCCGTTTGATGATTGCGCTAGATGGGTGAAAAATCTTGGAATTTTAACGGGACGGTTGTTTGCGGAATTGAACATTGGTGAGCATTAGGGAGAGAACGAAGTAACGAGTGATGGCGACAGCAGCGCGTTTCGCAGTTAAATGACCCAACTTAAGTACTCCCTCTTCATTTCAATGTTAGGCTTGGCTTAGGGCCAGCTCGACGGAGCTACAGGTTTCTAATCTTTTTCGCATTCTTTAGCGGATTTTAGTGTGATCTGAGCCCCACGTTGGAGGCTGAGACGGACATGGGGCAGGGGAAGAGGCCAAAGTGCCTCCCAAGCACATAGCCCCTCGAGCGCTCCGAGCCACCCCCGGCCGCGTCTGCCAGCGATCTGCACAAGACATGAGCGCGCTCTGGCAGGCCCCTGCGAACTGGCGGCGGGACAGAGCGAGGCGGTGCCGGCGTCCGTTACGACACACAGAACATAACCCCTCGAGCGCTCCGAGCCACCCCCGGCCGCGTCTGCCAGCGATCTGCACAGGACATGGGGGCGCTCGGACGGGGCCCCGTAAGCTGACGGCGTGACAAAGCGAGGCGGTGCGGGCGTCCGTTACGACACACGGCTCGTGGACCCGACTCGAGACCCGTGAGATCCGACAGGACCGACGGGGGTGTTGACATATGCGGCACTAAAGCTGCGGAGGCCGAGACACCACCGCAATTGTCATGACAGCCTGCGTCATGTTGGCACCAGGCGCTGCCGTGGTCAGCTGAAAACCTTCAAGTCTGCGCTTTGGACAATTTTGCAAGTGATGGAGGGCTGAGCTTTCAGGTATAATGACATATTCTTTACCTTACGTAATTTCAGCATTGCTATACAACGCTTCGTATGCGCAGTATTACATGGGAGCGCGGGTGAGGCATGCATCGCTCATCCTTGAGGACCATTAAGATAAGTTCGATTGTCAAAAGGCAAAGGTCTCCCGCAATGCTCACTTCACATACTTATCCGTCGGCATCATGCAAAGCTGGATTGGGGAAGATTATGCCCTGATTTTAACTGAGTGGGTCTGTGGTTGGATTAGTCAAACATACCAATGCGAAAGCACCGTGAGAGTAAACCCGTGAGAAGCCAAAAGATTCAGGACAGGAAAGGTGCTGATCACATTCCAGCTGGGCGCATAATGGCATAACTTGTATTCGCTATAACTGCGTTGCACCATCGATATAGGAAATGTTCACTACAATGGTAATAATTTGTTTAACGATTATATTTAACAAAATGTCGTCCCAGCCGCTCATGTGTTTGGTGCTGAACTCCATGCATAAGTGGGAATGAAGGACAGTGCTCTAGAGGCACACTTACCGTACATTACAGAAATAGGCAATATCACTGCACAGTGTGAAAAAAGCAAATGGCGAACGCATCGCAGTGCATATCTATCCTTCCTATCGATCTGTATCCCATCACCCAGAATGAGGTGACCAGAAATGCGCCCGCTATCCAGGGCGGTATACGTAACCGTGCATTACTTTCAGGCTTGGCAACTCTATATTGCAAAGCAGCTGCACTTCTTGTTCAGAAATCTGAAAGTCACGAAGCGAGTAGAGACAGGAACATAACTCAGCACTCGCCCGGGTGGGCGGTCAAATGCAACGCGCTCGGGTGGAGGCTTAGTTTAGTGCCTTGAGATCTCATAAGTAAAAGAGCTAAATGCATCAAATTTACAGAGTGAATTGGCCTGTATGCGGAATCGCTCTGCCAAAATCCAACAAGGTAAAACTTCAGATCACAGGTCAAAGGGCACCACACCTTCTCATGCAACCGCCGTCAACCTAGATAGTTGTTATAAACAAAGGGTCACTGATGTACATTTGAGATCAGTGACCTTGCTTAACCCTTGGAAAGTCGCGGTGGCCAAAAACCTAAGAGATTGTTTTGCTTCTCAAATGTGAATGCGAGTCAAGGATCATGCTAGGCGTCATGTTCCTGGAACAAAGCGTTGATATGAGTTATTTTGGGCCAGTGATGTCTTTTAACCTTTAAAGTGTTCAATGCACGTGGCCTTGTGTCCCTGCTATAAACATTCGAAACAGGCATAAGAAACTACCCTATACAGCAAGCTCCTCAGTCAAGAAGTAGGTTGGTTTTTATCCCGGGCTGACCTTTGAACCTAACCAAGATGAATGGAATGTGTTGTCACCTTAAACTCAATTGTCTTATTGTCTAAAAAACTATCTCAGAGGTGTGCGGCTTCGTCGAACACTCCGTTGTCGCATCGGATTGAGCGACTTTCTAAGAATCGTTTGCGCTGACAGCCATGGTCTGACTTTGATCTGTCATACGTCAGCGACCTTACAAGGTGCATGCAATCTTTTGTAAAAGTCCACCATTGCACTGCCCACAGCTAAACAAAAATTCGCCGTGCCGTTCAGAGCTTATGCTGGAAACACATTCGGGTGTCAAATTGACCCCCACCCGAGCAAGTATTGAAGGCGGGTGATGGTGGTGTGCATAATGTAGGCTTGTATCGTATCACCCTCTCTCTCTCCTCTCCTCTCTCTCTCTCCCTCTCTCTCTCTCTCTCTTCCCTCTCTCCTCTCCCTCTCTCTCTCTCTCTCTCCCGCTCTCCTCCTCTCTCCTCCTCTCTCCTCTCCCTCCTCTCTCTCCTCTCCTCTCTTCTCTCTCCTCTCCCTCTCTCTCTCTCTCTCCTCTCTCTCTCTCTCTCTCTCTCCCCTCTCTCTCTCTCTCTCTCTCTCTCTCCTCTCTCTCCTCTCTCCTCTCTCTCTCTCTCTCTCTCCTCCTCTTTTCCTCTCTCTCTCACCCTCCGACCTCGGGTACT